GCGAGATCCCGCGCCAAAATAACCGGTGACATTTTCACGCGCTGGGAATCGAACTAACTATACTTGTGTGATATGCGACGCAATTACGAGCACAGCTTATTGTGTTTTCGTTTTGTCAATTAGAATCGAATGTGTTTGTGTTTTGCTGTTGGAAAATTTATTTTATTTTGTAGGTGTTATGGTTGATTTTGGGTTAGTTATTTGTTGGCTGGGATGATTTTGTGCTCAGCTGAGAGTTAGAATTATGAAAAAGACGTATTTAATTATTTTCTTAACAAGTGAAACAAGTGAATTTGTTTCTGTAAATAGGCTACAAGGCAGCACTTTTACACGTCAATTTTTTCAAACGAATGATTACTCTGAGACATTTCATACACTACTCGAAGAAGTGCCGAAACAAACTCAGAGGTAGACGGACTTCTACCGACCTTTTAAGGTCCAGACATAACATAACATCACGCCTTTTATTCCCGAAGGGGTAGGCAGAGGTGCACATTAAACCACTTTACAATGTAACACCCACTTTTCACTATTTATGTTATGAATCCCATGTAATAGGGGGTGAGCCTATTGCCATATACCGGGCACAAATTCAGACTGCGTGCTACCACTGAGAATTTAAAACAAAAGCCCTGTAATATTTTGCCTGACCCAGGAATCGAGTTGCCTTGTCACACTTGCGACCACAACGGCCAATGAGGTAGTAGCACGGAGTCTGGAAATGTGCCCGATATATAGCAATAGGCTCACCCATTACATGGGACTCATAACAGAAATACTGAAAAGTGGGTGTTACATTGTACAGTGGCATTAAGTGCCGTAATGTGCACCTCTGCCTACCCCTTCGGGGATAAAAGGCGTGATGTTCTATTATATTATAAATCTAGTGAAATATTTACATAGTAATGGACCAGTTCAATCAAACGAGGATATGAAACGCTGATTAACAAGAGATTGATTAGTAAGATGGATCACAGCCAACAAGAAGCACTTATGTGCTTGAAAAAAGGACGAGTGGAGCCGAAGGAAGTACTTTGTATTGAGAACAATACATTGGTCACATTTTATACAGCTTGGATTAGTTTCGACTTGCCAGATGTTTGTCTAATCAATAAGTCTTATTTTTCAAATCGTAGAGACGTGAACAACAAC